CCCAAGCAGCTAGGATTATTTAAGTGGCTTTTTTTGCAGGGGGGTGTTGGGGGGTGGCTGGGTTTGAACTCCATGTCACACTTGCAAAGCAGGGGCTTTACCACTTGGACCAACACCTCCTTTAAGAGACTTTTTAAAGCCAAAAAGCTAAGTAATAGCTGAGCAATGACTAGAACTCTTAGTTCCATTCTTAATATAAAACTGCCTAAACAATATGTTTCAAAGGAGCCAGAACTGTTAAAATATCTCAAGAATTTTAAATATAAAAAGATCACATCTGTAATTATCATAGAGTCTAAATTTATAGTGCATATTAACATAGATATACATATTCAAAATATACATAAATATTTTAGGTCTTTTGTCAGGATAAATTACTTATCAATGTAAATAACAAAAATACATATAATTAAATTGACTTCAACATAGAATAAATAATCTACATTAAAAGGAAGTTCTGAGTACATGGCATAAAAAAGAAAATCTGTTATTGACCATCATTTGTATTACATGCTGAATCTGTACTTCCTATGAGATATATTTATTATACTTTTCAATCAAATTTTTAAAAAGAACTTTAGTACTGTTGTGCTTTTCTTTGTTGTTAAATAATGATAAATTGTTTCTATATTTTTTTCTCCTATATAATAAGATTTTTCTCCTGTAATTAGGACATTTACCACAGATAACTAATACATTTTCTTTTCCAAAAAAGTTCAACATTTACAAAGACAACAGACTGTTAATAAAAATAATTTGCTATCTACTAAATCAACATAAAGCAAATTTCTTCATTAAATTGCTTTAAATTTCTTCAAAAACAATAAAAAAAGCCACCTATTCTTTATACTTATTAAAAATATTAGTATTTTTAAAATTAACATTTTAAATTATCTCTTTTTCATATTTATCCGGCAATATTATGTATTGCATTACTAAACACTTTCAAATATGCAAATATGGATGAAAACTGAATAGATCATTTCTAACAATTAGATATAATAAAAATGATATTATTTAGGAAACAAGGCTCGTTTGAAAGGTATTCTTCCTGCTGGTTTACGACTTCAATTACAAACACTATAAATTCACTGTTATATCTTAATACTTTAAAATTCTTAACTATTTTACCATTTGTCAACTTCTAGACTTACCTGGGTCTTGTGTTAGGTAAATGAATAAGTTGTTTCCAACAATTTGTTATGATATTGTGAATCCAACCATCACCTGCAATATTATAGCAAGTTAAGAAATTAAGACTAGGTCTTTGGAATATGTTACATTTATATGATTATCTTGCATGTGCATATGTTTTCAGAAACATTTTTAAGCATAAGAGAACAGTCCACCTATCTCAGATTCAAAAATTATCAAGATTTTGGCCCAGGTGTGAATCTCAGTGGAGGAGTGTGTACTTAGCACTTGAGAGGCCCTGGTTCAAACCCCAGCATGGAAAAAAAAAAAAACAAACTTTGTTACATATGCACCATTTATCTCTTTGTGTTATTCTCTTTGCTGAATTATTAAGTCAAATTCCTAGATTCTCCTATTTGTTTTCCCATACATCAGGATATATTGCTAAAACAAAATGGACACAATGCCATTATCACAGTCAACCAAAACTAAAAGTAATTTTTGGTATCCATATAACAAAATCTTAAGCTGGAATCTTATGAGGAAAGGAACTGATTAAGAGTTAAGACATTTAATTTCCTATGGGCAAATGACCAAAAAATAACAGGAATTAAAAACCTAGATTCCAAAGTTATGGTACTAAAAAACCTCTAGTGAAATGTAGACGCTAGTTTTTGTTAGATTTCCAACCTCTTTTTAATTAAAACCTCACAAATTGGACACGAATAGTACTCTGCAAAAAATAGCTAATACCCCCAGTTAGGAACTGCTGTTTCTCCAAACTCCTCTGGAGTTTGGTGGCAAGCAGACTTCAAATGCGCTGCTGCTGGGCAATAAACTTTTATTGAAAACAGTTGTTTCCAGAATCTGTATAAAATTATGTGAATAGCTTTAATGGTACAATGGCATATAATGGTTTGTTTTTTTTTCCTTTGGTGGTACTGGGGTCTGAACTCAGGGCCTCACTTGTTAGGCAGGTGCTTTACCACCTGAGCCACTCCACCAACCCAAGGTTTCTTAATGAAAAACTCTCTTCGTCAGGGAAAAATTTCTGGGTTATAGAAAAATATAACACATCTAATATGTTCAAACCAAGAAGTGGATGTTCTTGGTCATCTGTCTACCCTAATGCCACAATTTTATAGCTGAAAGAAAAGCTGCATTACAAATCCATAGCTATTGGGATTAGCAGTGATAGGAGTTATGGTGCCCTGCTAAGTATTTTCCTTTAGAGTTTTTTGTGGGAAAAGGAGAATTCCCACCTTGTACGTTCAAGGCTTCTAAGGAAGGCTGCTCTTCTAATCTTCTAATTCCAGCCTATAGTAGAAGCATTTGGATAGAAACCGGGTAGGCACAGAACAGTGGAAAAGGAGCTTTAGTTCAGCTAGGCTCACCACCCTCCACTTCTCTGGAGAGCAAAGGGTAGAAGAAACGAGGTTCTCCTTCTAATTCTTTTTTTCTTTTTTCTTTTTCTTTGGTGGGGAGTGAACCCAGAGCATTGTGCATGCCAGGCAAGTGCGCTACCACTGAGCATCCTCCCCTCTAATTCTCAGTGCAAGCACCGAGTTGAGATAAACGGAAAAAAAAAGACTTCTCCATAAGTATGAAGTACAATTAAGAAAAAAAATGAGATATTACATGCTAAACTTTAATTGACTTACTTAATGGGATTTATCTGCACTTAGGCCACCAATAGGAAAAGCTTATCATTCAGCTATTGGTGTTAAAGTATGCCATGACCGATGTTTGGGCTTTCTCCATTATAGGAATCCTGTAGAAAAGGGGAAAATTAAAATCTAAGTATTATTTTAATAAAAATAAAAAGGCTTTTGTTCATCTCACTTTTTTTTTTAGAAAGAGGGTCTCATTATGTATGCAGGCTGACCTTGAACTCACAATCTTCCTGCTTCAGCCTCCTGAATGCTGGAATTATAAGCATGCACCACCACTCTCACCTCAAATTTTTTTTCCCCTTTATATTAGGATATATTAGTTGTATGGGGGGATTCATTGTGACATTCTTAATAATCTTACATTGTATATTTCACCTCAGATCTTTAAGAAAAAAACTGCTCTCACAACTCTGAAAAGAACTGATTCATCTACACGAATGTTTTAAAAACATTCTTAGACTTTGATAATATTTAAAAATTTCTTTCCTTCTAACTTCTACTCCATGTGAACATAAAACAGAATGAAAATAAAAGTCATTCCTAGTTTATCCACAATGCATATTCAGCACTGCTTTTATTGGTTAACTAGTATCATTCCCCAATTTTTCAAAATAATTACTTTATGTCTTATGTTTTTTACTGTTGTTTCATGTTTTGTTTTGTGTTTTGAGCTGATTTTCCCAAGGATATTATAAGTTTTGTTGTTGTTATTTCTACTAGTCTACTTGTTATAGATGTTCCCAAACATTAGCTTCCCCTGAAAACGCTAACAACTCTAACTTAAAAACAAAAGTATGCATAACACTATGGATCCAGGATAAACATCTAAAATTTTCAAAACAATACTCTTTTTTTTTTTTTTTTTTTTTTTGTGGTACTGGGGTTTGAACCTAGGGCTTCAAAATTGCTAGGCAGGCACTCTACAGCTGATCCAGACTTCTAGCCCTCTTTACTCTGGTTTTTTAAGACAGGGTCTTGCTTTTTGCCTGAGTCAACCTGGACTCATCCTCCTAATCCTCCCAATCTCAGCCTCCCAAGAATCTAGGATTATAGATGTGAGTCATGGGTGCCCAGCTCAAATATCCTCTTTTTTTTAAAACAAACAAACAAACAAATAGGCCAGCACCAGTGACTCAAGCCTAATAATCCCAACTATTTGTAGTTTGAGGCCAGTAGGTACCATGTGTGTAGGGGGGTTTCATGAGCCCTCCCTCTCAACCAATGGCTACATGGGATCATGGTCCTGTAGTTCAAACCCCAGTGCTGTCAATAAATAAATAACAGAATTTAAAAAAACATAAAACCTAAATTAGAAGCAAAAGTTTGATTTGGGCCAGGTGCTCACCGCCTGTAATTTTTAGCTACTTTGGACGCAGAGATCTGGAGGATCAGAGCCTGAGCAAATAGTTCGAGAGACCCTATCTCAAAACATTCAACATGAAAAAGGGCTAAGAGTGTCTCAAGTAGTAGAGTGCCTGCCTAGCAAGTGAGAGACCCTGAGGTCAAACTCCAGTGCCACCAAAAACCAAAAAAAGTTTGATTCAGGAGGTGAGAAGGAACCACTCTCTAACGTTCTAGAATCCTCTATAATAACATGGACCATTACTGAGAGATAAGAGTTTATTTTTTCCAAAATGCAAATATTTTATTGTTTTTGTTGATTATAAGAAGCACTTCAGTTATAAAGCAATTAACAACCACAAAAATATTTTTAAAAGGAGAATTCATCTCCCAAGTGCTGGGATTACAGGCATGTACCACTATCACTATGCCCAGTTGCCTTTTTAACTTTTGTGGAACATTTTTCTATAGAAAATATTTAATTTAAAGCAGTTTTATCCATTAGTCTTTTCATTTATGAAGTTTTGGTTTATATAATACTTTTAAAATTTTTCTCAATATTTTAAAATAATCTATTTATTTCCTTTTTTTTTTTTTGAGACAGGGTCTTTGTTACATGGTCCACTATACCCAACTAAAAATTTTCTTCTGACACTTTCAAGGTTTTATTTTTCATTTGGCAGGTATTTTTTACTTATTTATTTGTGACAGGGTTTCACTATGTAGCCAGGCTGGCCATGAATTTACTGTGTAATCCAAGCTGGCCTCAAACTTGACATCTTCTTGTCCCTCTGAGTGCTGGGACTGCAGGCATGCACCACCATGCCAGCTTTTCATGGTCATATTTTAATGGTGTTAAACTTTGGAATAGAATATCACTCTGATTCCCTCTCATTATATGAACGGTCACATTGATAGCTAAATAAACTCAGTCTGTTGTTAAATTTACATTATGAACCTGACTTTTTCCTACTTCATCATGTATTCATGTAAATGACTTCATTCAACCACTCCTTCATTTCTTCTATTGACCAGTCTCCAAAGAATACTTAGTATAAAACCAACACTCTTAAACAATCAATTTTCACTCTAGTACTTTCATGTTTTTATAGTTTAGTTAAAGAACAAATTCTATTTAGCCAGACATAGAGATGCATCCTATAATCCCAGCACTTGGGGAGGTAAGGCTGAGGCAGGAAGATCATGAGTTTGAGGCCAACCTGTACTACATAGTAAGACCTGTCTCAAAAAAAAAAAAAAGAGGAGGTGTGGCTCTAGTAAGTAGCGTGACTGCTTTGCACATGTGAAACCGTGAGTTCAACTGCAGTCTCACCAAAAAAAAGGTATAAAAAAAAATAAACTATTATTATTATTAAATCTTAATCTTATATTCTTGCTTAGACTATAATCTGAAAAAAAAAACCAGCTTAATTGTAGGGATCCAAACTTGTATTACGACACACCCCCACACAAAACACCCCTATAGATGAACACAGATTTCAAACTTACCTTCAGACCAAATCCAGGTATCTAAGTTTAGATAGTGCAAGTCATTCATCCTAGTTTGCTAAAATAAAAAGTGTATAAATTTGGACAACTGTTTTATATAATTTATGGACTCAAATATTAGCTTTAAAGTAAGTTCAGATTGAAAATAAATTATCTCTATTTTAACCTAAGTATCAGAGGTTTAAATATTGGGAAATAATTCTAAGTATTAAAATTAACAGAGCTTCCAATTAACATGTCAAAGGGAAAGGAAGAAGTGAGTTTAAACTAGTACAGTATAGATTATCAACATAAATTTTTCTGATTCTGCACTGAAATGAAGGATTCTTCTCATTAATACATGATTTATAGTCACCTGTGATTGGCTGTTATGGTCTGATTTAGAAATACATGAATACAGGTTACTATGAAATGCCATTTTAATCTCTTCATTTTTTAATGTTAAACCATTCCACAAAATCAAAGGACATATTTTTATAAGGAACATCATACATAAAAATACTATTTCCATTAAAACACTAACCAAAACACGTCCACCAAAGATATAACCCTTATTTCCAAGAACTGCACACATATGCGCGGCTCGTGGCTGTGGTGGGACTCCACCCTGCAAGCAGAAATTAGAACACAGAACAAAGACTTGAAACATCTGTAATACAGTCACATTCCTATGTGCAATATGAGAAACACCTGACCACTAAATTGTCATGACTTATGTAATTCAACAAAACCCTAATGAAAAGGGTTATCCTATCATAAATAACAATTATAGACAAATATTACTCAAGAATAAAATTTACCTATCTGTATCCTTACTTCTTATAAGTGTTTTTCTTAATTCATGCTATTTAACAAAATTAGAATTTCATGAATTTTGACTTGAAAATAAGGATTTTAAAAATCAAATAAAAAGTTCTCTCTCTCTCTCTCTCTCACACACACACACATAGACATAATATTAGGAGTGAGCAGTGCACAATGTGATAATCTCAGCAGACTCTAAAATATTAGTTATGGTCCCCAAATTTCTCAAATTCATAAAACACCTTCACTGTTGGCTTAAGCCAGTGTCTTGTCTCTTTAAAATTCTTTAACATCAAAAATATTTCTCTATATTTTTAATAAATATAACATATTTTCTTTAGATAAGTTTTTATTTGTTTTCTTGAGACAGAGTCTCACTATGCAGCCCAGGGTGGCCTTGCACTCTGGATCCTCCTGCCTCAGCCTCCTGATTTTTTAAATAGTGAGAAAAAATAGAATATTATAGGGGTATGTGATGAATAAGATTTGAAGAAAAGGTGCTGGAATACAGCTTAAGTGTAGAGCATGTGTGAAAGACAGAAATGAAAGAAAGAAGATTTGAAAGAAGAACCATCTGCATAATTTCCATGAGCTCATGATGGATGCCTTTGTGGGTATATTTCATTCTAAGTTCTGAAATAACATTTTTAGCTCACTGACTACTGAATGTAGTCATTGGAAATTTAAGCCCTCATCCAACATAACTTCCTAGACTTTCAGGCTCAGTTGAATAACTGTGCTGAGGTCAACTTGGTAAGAAATAATTCAGACTTTACCTATATAACACTTAAATAAGTGAAAGAGAGCCATTTTAAAGTTTTAGTTCCAGTACTTCCAGCCTTCCAGCAAAACAAAACTTTTTACTATTATTATCCCATCAGCTCCCAACCCTGCTTTTTTCTAAGGAAATAAAGTGTTAAGAGGCTTGGAAGAGATTAGGATTCTACTTACTACTGACATGAAATTATCTTAACAGAAGTAAAATTCTTTTATTCCATCAATAACAGACACAATCTTAAAATTCAAATGCTGATTAACAGACAATTTTTTAAAAGGAAAATTCAATGTGACAAGTATAAGTAAACAGACACCCTGATTGTTCTAAATTAGAAATGGCATTGAGAAGAACAGAAGAACACTGAAACCTGAAATTCACTGCCTAAAAAACAGGATACAGAACGGGTCAAATTCTTAACATTTAATATTTTTCAAAGGATTCCCATTATCTCCATCAATAGAAGGTAAATTGTAAGAAATTTTAGTTTTGTTTTCCTAGCACTAAGAAAAAGAATTTTAAAGAATTTTTATTCATGAATGCTATTAATCAGAGCAATGTTAGTTTTTGTCCACTCAGCACTATTTTTTGTTCAGTTTTGGCGCTTTCAGTCACAATACCTGCTCTTCTAGGGCAGGCAGGTGACTCAGACTGACAATCATTCCTGGCAATACTGTGTGAGCCAATCCAAATTGCTAAACTAATTGAATTTGTGTTTGGTCACTAGCACATGAA